GGCAAAAGCTGAGTTGTGGGTGGGAGAGGGATTCTGAGTGGAGGGCTGGCTCTGCCTGACAGAACCTAGCAGAGAGCCTGGCACAGGGGGTCTGTGAGAGGAGACTGGCTAGAAGGAAGATCGAAAAGAAGAGTGAGTCAAGTCAGGGCATTGGTAACAGAATAGAAAACGCTTAAAAAATGTAAATCCAGGGGCGCCTGGCTGACCCAGTCGGAAGAGCATGCGACCCTCGATCTCAGGGTTTTGAGTTTGAGCCCCACATTGGGTGTAGAGATTACTAAAAAAATAAATAACTTTAAAAAAAAAAAGGAAATCTATAGTAAGGTTTCTGGAATTTGTGAAATCAGATTGTTAGAATTACAAGGATGTTAAAGATCAGTTTAAAGTATCCTTTTAATCTCTATATGTGTAAACAGGCTTGAAGAGGTAAAATAGCCTGACTGACATCACATGGCAAGAAAGGAAGAAGCTGGTGTGACCAGAACCCAGGAGCTAGTCTCGATCTAGGTTTTTTGGGTTCTCCACTAACCAAGTTTCTTCCGTCAAGTAAGCAAGATCCCTAACCCTGCTACAAAGTAAATGGCATTCACAAACTTGCAGTGAACCAATTTCTCATAAAGGAGACCCCCCATGGTTGGGCTGGGGAGGTCCAGGCACCCTCAGGAGCAGTGGAAGTGGTCAAGGAGGCAGGCCTCTCCTGATGACCACAGGTCCTCACAATGAACCGATAAGGAACTGGATTCCAGGGTGGAGTGAAACAGAAGTCATCTCTTTCCCGGGCCACTCTTTATTAGAGAAGGTGGCCCCTTTCTTCATATTCCCATATCTGCAAATCTCTCCCTAGATGGACACCTTCCAGAAAAGCTGTTTCTCAACAACCTTCTTCCAAGGCCTTCTGGTTGTCTGTGAAATTACAACACGTTGCAGCGCATAAACAAGTGCCCACAGTGAAGTGGGGGCAGGTATCAGAATAAACCAGAGGCTTTGCTTAAGGGAGTTTAGGGCTGAATAGAGCTTACAGATACAGAAACGCATGGGAAGATGTTTGTGTCAAATTCCCACACCAACAGCTTTCCTCTAGTCAAAGTGCTTGGTGCTGAGTGGGCGCAAGTGTGGAGAAAGAGGGAGGGAGAAATTAGAGGGGGTTAATGTGGTATTTCGGTGTCTTTTCTCTTTAAATTCAGAGTGAGAGAGAGAGAGAGAGGTATTACAGCTCTAAAGAAACCTAGTTAGGGACGCCTGGCTAAGTTATGTCTGCCTTCGGCTCAGGTCATGATCCCAGGGTCCTGGGATCGAGCCCCCACATCAGGCTCCCTGCTCAGCGGGAAGCCTGCTTCTCCCTCTCCCACTCCCCCTACTTGTGTTCCCTCTCTCACTGTCTCTCTCTCTGTCAAATAAATAAATAAAATCTTTAAAAAAGAAAGAAAGAAAGAAAGAAAGAAAGAAACTTAAATTCTGATGGCAGCTATGTAAAAATATGTGTGGCCACCAGGGCTGAAAGTAATATACAAATGTGAAAATCACTGCGTTGGGGGAGGTAGGATTCTGGATGACCTTCTCCCAAACCCTTAATAATGTTCAACATTGTTAATTAAATGTTCAATTAAACATTTTCAAATTTGCTTCTTGGCTAATTAACCTGATGTTATAAAATCATAATTCTCTAAAATTTTTTTATTTAAAATTTTTATTTTTAAGTAATCTCTACACCCAACGTGGAGCTTGAACTCACAACCCTGAGATTGAACTCACAACCCTGAGATCAAGAATCACATGCTCTTCTGACTGAGCCAGCCAGGTGCCCCACAGTTTCCTAAAATTCTTGCTTGTTGTCCATCACAGCAGTTTTTAGGGCAGCAAAACACTGGACACCATCTAAATGTTTCAGAGGACTGATTTAAATAGACTGCGGTCCAGTCATAACAATGGAACACTATACAACCATTTTATTTATTTATTTAGAGCGAGAGTGGGTGGGGGGAGGCAGAGGCAGAGGGAGAGGGAGAAAGAGAATCCCTAGCAGGCTCCAGGCTCAGCCCCACACGGGGTTTTGATCTCACGACCCTGAGATCATGACCGGAGCCAAAAATCAAGAGTCAGATGCTTAACTGACTGAGCCACCCAGGTGCCCCTTATGTGGCCATTTTAAAATGAAGACATAGGGGCTCCTGGGTGGCTCAGTTGGTTAAGCGACTGCCTTCGGCTCAGGTCATGATCCTGGAGTCCCAGGATCGAGTCCCGCATCGGGCTCCCCGCTCAGCGGGAAGTCTGCTTCTCCCTCTCCCGCTCCCCCCTCTGTGCTCTCTCTCCCTCTCATTCTCTCTCTCAAATAAATAAAATCTTTAAAAAAAATTAAAAAAAATAAATAAATAAAATGAAGACATAGATCTGAACGTGTGGAGATGGAACTGCCGAAAGAGTAAGTGAACAAAGGCAGATGTAAGACGAGTGTAGTTCAAACACACACACACACACACACACACACACACACACAAGCGCAGATGTACCTATCCACGGAAAATCTCTGGAAGGATACCCAAGAGAGTTGGAAATGGCCACCTCCATTTGAAGAAGTGCAATGAGGGCCTGAGGTGGCCACTTTTCATGATATAAACTCCTATAGTATTTTTTTTAAAGTGTGTGTGTGTGTGTGTGTGTGTGACACTGGTGTAAGTTTTATAAGTTCTATTAACTTTCTAGGCAATGTTCTCAGGGTTGTCTTCCTAAGTGGTTTTAAGATAGAGTTACCAAAAGTCCTATTCTTGTTCCCATACTTAGAAAACAGACAATCTGATTATGCCTACAGTTGTCAAAATGTGGAGGCAATGTGCGAAAAAACTAAATATGCTCATCTTTCAGAGGAAGATCTACTGAGATGTATATACCTAAGTGCAGCCAAAGAACTGGGTCAGCCTCCCACCAGGCTGCCCCAAAAAAAGCAGAGCAAGGAAATGAGCTGTTCACTCTTCTCCTGGGGGCGGGGGCGCCAGGGGTGCTCTGCACTTTAAAAGAGACACATCGGTCCAGATCCAAAGAACCATCCCAAAGCTCCGGGAATCATGTTGTTTCTTAAATATTATGTATAGATTTCAGCTCAGTTCCGGTTCTCTCTGTGTCCAAACAGTATTTCAGAGCTTCAAGGAACCAAAATGGTGTGCCGGGATACAGAGCGCTGACTTGAACAAGGGAGGCCACTCAAACATCCTCTAGCCTACAAAACACGTAGAGAACCTGTCCCAGGGACCCTCTGCCTGATGATACTATGTGCCTCATACTTTAATATTCTCGTACCTGGGGCCACTTTTTTTTTTTATAGGACAGATTACCTTCGCTTTAAAAACTTCTCTTTGCTTTCATGTATTTCAAGATCTAATGGAAGGATGTTTCACTACAAATTCATGAGAAGGGATGGCAAAATCTTTTTGCCATTCCCTCCTGGGCATCTCAGCCTGAAGGATGTTCAGAAAGGTACTTAGCCCAAGGGGATACTAAGATGGTGGGCAAGGTGAGGCCTCTAGTACATGACTTGATGTCCAGGATGAATAGACGGAGCAGTCAGCCCTTCCCAGAGAGGGAAAATTACTGGCTCTGAGATATTCTGGAGCCAAACAATGTAATGGCAGGCTTAGACACATAGAAGAAGAGGAGATAGAGGGGCGGCTGGGTGGCTCAGTCAGTTAAGCATCTGTCTTGGGCTCACGTCATGGTCCCAGGGTCTTGGGATTGAGCCCCATGTGGGGCTCCCTGCTTAGCGGGGAGTCTGCTTCTCCTTCTCCCTCTGCTGCTCCCCATTTGTGCTCTCTCACTTGCACTCTCTCTCTCAAATAAAATCTTTAAAAAAATGTTAAAAAAAAAAAAAGAATAGGAGATGGGAATGAGCCTCAACAGGAAGATGGCAGACAGCAAAGGGTAGGTCACAGAGCACAGCTATGGGACAGCCTGACTTAGCCAATGCATTAATTTTTTTCCCAAACATGCCGCCCCGAAGAACGAAAAAAAAAAAAAAAGCATTTTCTTGGTTAGGTTAAAAATCATTTGTGTTCAACACATTTCCTCCTGAATTCTGATACAGTTGAAGAATATGTGTTCATAATGTTCCTTATCACTGCCACGCCTACTAAGCTAGCCAGCTCTGGCCTATTCAGAGATTTTACTTCATTTGCAAGGTGTGTGTGTATGTGCGTGTGTGGGCACGTGTGAGCATGCACTCTTCCACTTACTTTCTCTGATCTTCATTCCAGTGGCACAGGACAAGAAAGAAAACCCATTTATAAACCATTCTAGTATATGCTGCATTTCTTTCTGAAACCAGAAGCTAAAATGACATCTGTGAATTTGATTAGCTATGCTTTGCCCCATGACCTCACATAAACCAAAGCTCATTGCATTTTTCTGCATTCTCTTTACTTAAGTGACCACAGTCCTTTTTAACCAGCAGGCCCCTCTATTGACCAATGTGGAGTGGGGCACGGGTGTGAACTTTAGTTGGGGAGAACTCCCGATCTCCTGCCCACGTCTAACTCTGCCCCCAAAGATGGGCACGCTGAGCTTTGCCTCAAATACAAATCGTTTCATCACTGACTTTTCTCACAGGGCTCATTTTGTAATGCTTACCTTTGTGATATTTTCTCCCAATCTTCCGCATCATCCTCCAAATCTGAAACTCCAAACTGGAATGCAGAGTCCAGCACAGATTGCCACACCGCCTGGCGTAGGGTCACCTCCCTCCCAGGCTCTGGTTTCTCTGGGGGTCTTCTTTCCCCTGCAGACAGCAGCTATCGAGCTGCGGTCCGTGCACCCATTGGCGGCACTCGCCAGCCTGCCAAGCAGCTGCTGACTCATGCTTACTCTGGGATCTCCTGGGACCCCCAGTCTTCTGCCCTGCCGCCAGGACAGCCCCCACCCACCTCATGGAGCACTCTGGAGTCTCCGCCCCGACCTGATGAGCCGGCCCCCACCAAGGTACGCAGGCCCCCCCCGGGCCCCGCCCCCCAGCCCACCTGGAAGACGTCGTTGGCACACTTGCGACACAGGTTGTGCTGGCAGGGCAGGATCACCACCGGTTTGGAGAACATCTCCAGGCAGATGGGGCAGATGAGCTGCTTCTCCAGGTTGTCCATGCTGTGTGCATCCCCTAGCAGCGGCTTGAAACCCACTGTGAAGTTCATCCCCTCAGCGATCGTGCCTGCCCCGGCCTTGGCCCCAGTCCTGGCCTTCCCTCACTGCCTCTGGACCCTTCCTCGTTCACTTCAGACAGTCCGTGGGTTCTTACGTTCCCTTCTACCACTCACTCTTGAAATAGCTCTGCTCCCTCTCCTGTCCCTTCCTCCAACAATTCACCTCGTCCTCAGCTGTTTTCAGACACTTCTCTTTCTCTAGTCTTTGCTCTGTACCCCAGCCAGACACATGTAGTTAGCTTTATCTGTCCCTCCGTCCCTGAGTGACTCTGTCCCTGACAATTTCTCCTTTTGTTCTCCAAATGACTCTTGTTCACTCTACGGGCAGCACTGTGTGTCCCTCCCTTCCCAGAGAGGAGATTAATTTTAACATGGGGGTGGGGAACAAGGGGCATCTGCATGACATTCCAACTCCCAATTTAGCTCATGTAAGGCGAGCCACAGCTGTCACCGAGTGAGTGACCCTGACTCACTCGGGAATGGGTGACTGCCTTATGCAAGAGCAGGGGTGAGCTTCACTGCTCATGGTGAAAGGTAGGTCTGTGAAGGTGTCAAGCTCTCAGGCTCAGAAGGCTCCTGTGAGCCCCTGACCCCCATAAGCATGCTGTGGCTTGGGCTCTTCTTCCAGGGTGTGACGCAGAATCTAAACTGGCCTGGATGGGGGCACCAGACATGGCTCAGGGTGGCAGGAAAGATCTCACCAGACCCGGGGCCTGGTCAGTGCCTCCAAGGTTTAGCCAGTGACCCTCACCCTCTTCCGTTGAATGCTGTGATTCAGAACAGGGGCACCAGAGATTAGAGGGAAAGGCTCTGGTCCAACTCTTCTGGTCCATTTTTGTTCTTGCCCAGAACTTTCTTATCTCACCCTAGGAACAGAAGCTAAGGACGCTAGAGCTGGCAGTTGCACCAGGGCCTGGAATGACCTCATGAGTATGCCTCTGAGAAAGTGTGGGGATTTGGTCCATGAACACATCACTGGAGCCACTCTAAGGACTTTAAATTTGTTAGGAAATCGAGAGAAGTTGAGCTGAGCAGAAAGGACCTGAGTGCCAGGAACCTATTTTGGGCAGCAGGGGAATTGGTCTCCGGGGAAATTTTAGAGCACTGACAAAGTCATAATCACAAGGCTCTGGGAAGCCTCTGCCTCAACTCCACAGTTGTCCTGGACTCCTCCTCTCCAAGGCAGGCTGGTCTCAGATGTGAGCACCAGCCCTCTGTCTTTTTTTCCCACGGGCCTTTTCCTCTATCCCAGGCCCGATTTGTCTTTTGGGGACCCAACAGATGCATTGGATTGGACAAAAGCTCTTTTATTTACTGACATTCCTTAGCACTTCTCCCATTCAGGAGAGAGAAGTTTGAGGAGTTACTCAGCTCTGACCTTGGGTGGATGGGAAATGGTGTGGAGAGGAGAAAACAGGCAGTGTGAAGAGGCATGAATGGGGAAAGGGTCTGTAGAAGTATTATCTTTTCCCTATCACATGTTTCATGCCCCTGTTAACAAAACATATGGTGATCAGCATGCATAAGATGTGGTAAAAAGGACGGAGGCAAGCAGGCACTGATAGATGAACTTCAGTCAGCCCACGGGACCCATGCTAAGGGGGGCTGTGCTGGGGTACAGTCCAGAGAGAATCCAGAGGTGGGATAACTACCCCTCCCCCTCCAATGCATTCATGCTTTGTGTGAGTTGACTCATGGTGGCATAGAATGAGTCTGACAATGAGGCTGACAATGTCAAGTGCATGGGCACCAGAAAAAGGTGAGACCAGCCCCAGAAATGTGTGCTGGCGTAGGAATGAGGCTGACGCTAAGTTCTTGGTGCAGCGCTGCAACAAAGGAGGGTCAACTAGTATAGCAGCTCTGGGATAGGATCCACCCTGCTCAGTTATCAGGATCTTGGTGGAGATAATGCAAGTGGCTCAGGGCCCCTACCACCTGAAACTGGCCCAAATCCCAAGGTACAGGAAAAAGAATGCTCGGGAAAAGTCTGTCACCACTGCCTGAGACCTCATAAGGGTACGTATGGAAGGGCTGCTTTCTAAACAGATTAAAATTGGGACTGGAGCTAAAAAGAAGAGTGGCTGGGTGACCTTGTATTGGCAGGGTCAGTGATACCATCAAGGACAGAGGTGGCATCCCCACTGGGATAGATGCCATCAATGCTTCTGAAGTTGGGATTCTTATAAGAAGAGGGTCAAATCAGGGTCAATGTCAGGACAGGGCTACTTGCTCCCCTCTTCAACGTGTCCAGTGTGTTGGGCAGCAGAAGGCACCCTCGCTGGGTCAGCACCTGGAGGCAAAAGAGGTTGGCATCTTATTAAGCAGAAGGAATGATGACCCAGAATTTAAAGCAAGCCCCCTGTGGGTAAGGATATAAACACCTGAAATCCAGAATATAAGATATAAACTTTCTACTAATGACTCATTGGAAGTTAGTGTATGTTCTTTTCTTATCCTTTGATTATTGCTGCATTTTAGCTTCCATATATACTCACTCCTCTTCGTCTTTTAGAAATCATCTTCCCTATCATCTTGTCCTCTTCTAAAATTTCTTTTGTTTCCTATGATGGAATTTGAAAAACACATATACAAATATTTAGTAACAATTTTTCGTCCAGGGGTGAGAAAACCGTTACCTTGCAGTTACATGTCAGTATCACTAGGTGGCACTAGAGTGAACTTCAGTCAAGCCACACTCTCAGTGCTTAGGGTGGGGATGATCTCATCAGACACTTAATCTTCCTTTCAAGTAAAGGCAGTGAACTTCATCTTCAAGTACTGCCTTTTCAAGGCATCCTCCCACCCATTCTTTACCTTAACTCCCAGCCCATTCCTTAGCTTAACAGTCATGAGAGGCCAATATTACATTCATTTTTTTTTTAAGATTGTATTTATTTATTTGACAGAGAGAGACACAGTGAGAGAGGGAACACAAGCAGGGGGAGTGGGAGAGGGAGAAGCAGGCTTCCCGCGGAGCAGGGAGCCCAACGCGGGGCTCGATCTCAGGACCCTGGGACCATGACCTGAGCCGAAGGCAGACGGCCCAATGACTGAGCCACCCAGGTGCCCAGCCTACTAGATCCACTGTCAGTTGGTGGCATAAGCCGCTCAGAAACCAAGTGTATCCTCTTCTCTTTCTTCACTTGGCCTCAGTACCGGCTTGAGACTCCCGCCCATATTAAGGGCTCAGAGTTTCACCTCCAAGTATCTCTCATTCCCAATCCAGCTCTTACCTCAGGCCCTGTCTATGGCTCTCACCTGCCCTGGGAGGCTGATTCTGTACATCCTGCTGGTATCTTCTGGCAACCTCCTCAGGTGGTGGCTTAAGCGCTCCGCAGCAGAAGCAGCAGCAGCAGCAGCAGCAGCAGCAGGTGAGCAGAGCGCACAGGAGGACCAGCGTCTGAAAGGCAGGGAAGAGTGGCCTCGGCCCAGCATTTCCTCCATATCCCACCCCACAAAATGGGACAACAGAAGCAGCTGCACTGGTAGAGAAGGGTCAGCTGTCCAAGAAGAGGAGGGTCATCCCTCCTTCCTTATTCTTTTTTGTTGTTTTTTTTTTTTAAGATTTATTTATTTATTTATTTATTTATTTATTTATTTATTTATTTGCGAGAGAGCACAGAGGGAGAGGGAGCAGGGAGCCTGACGCGGGCCTCGATTCCAGGACCCTGGGATCATGACCTGAGCCGAAGGCGGACATTTGACCAACTGACACACCAGGCGCCTCCCGCCCCTTCCTTATTCTTAAGGGACTAGGAAGAATTGTATACCTTGAACCAGCAACTATTCATCGTAAAATAGTACGTGACGCCTTCTTCGCCAAAGTGATCATATATATATATTCCCAATGAACCATGCCGGTCGTAGATTTTCCGCTTCTTAGGGTCACTCAGTATGGAGTGGGCTGTGTTGATCTCTTTGAATATTTCTGCTGCTTGAGCGTCCCCTGGATTCTTGTCTGGATGATACTTTAAGGCCAGTTTCCTGCCCAGGCAATACCCAAAAGGACGGTGGGGAGAGGATGGTTGGGAAATGGCCGGGGAAGGAGGGTAGGATGAATGACAGGGATAGGTCTCTAGATGTGAAGAAGGCATGCATGAGTGCAAAGAATGGAGGCAAGCAGCCCAAGTCTAAATTCCTTGCCATGCCACAGTGAAAAGGATGATGACCCCATCCAACCCAAAGTGAAGGCTTGAGGATTTAAAAATGGGTCAGAAAGCAAGGTAGAAAGAGAAGGGTTTAAGGCGGGGCGAATTCCAGGGTTTAGTAGGAGGCTGGGTCTGAACCTGTAAGCCTTTTTGATGTCTTCCGGTGAGGCACCTTTCTTAAGCTCCAGCACGGCATAGAGGGTTGTCCCACTTCTGGACAGCTGGCGGGCTGCTTCGTCCAAATGAGCCATGATCTGGGTCAGAGGAGAAGAAGCATTTGTGAGAACCTCCACAGGGTAGGCCATGGAGAAGTGAACTTACACTGAGGAAACTCACTGCCTTCAGGGGCGAGGCAGGTAAAACGAGTACAAAGGGACAAGTATTTAAGACAACAGTGAGTGGGCTCTGTGACTAGCAGGAGCGTGCAGGTGACCAGAAATGACATCCAAATTTTAAAGAGGAAGTATCTCCTCACATTTCCAAGCGTCCTTCAGCTACGCAGCCCTCCAGACACCCCACATTGTGGAGAGGTGTGAGCAAGAGGAGGTCTAAACCATGGGAGGAGAGTGATTTTATCTGGAACTACTAGTACCTTAGGCAAACAGCCCCGGGCCTGTCCAAGCTCACTGCTGGGTTGGAAAGACCAGGGCAGACCAGTCCTTGATCAGGTTGGGTCAGGAACCGGGGAGATGCACAATTCCCACGGGAGACACAATTCAGACCAAACCCTGAGCCACCTAAGAGAAGTCAGGTGTCCCAAAGCCAGGCCGTAGGGCAGTGCTGCAGCTAGGCCAGAGGCGTTCTTCTTCTCCTTAGCCTCCCCTCCCAAACCTCAGAGATGGGCAGCGGGGAGAGCATCAAGGGATGAAAACCGAAGCGAAAGGGATAGCTTTGGGGGCCGACCGGCCAGGGACCAGAGAGCAGGACCCCAGACAGTGGGAGAGACCTTGGGAGGCTGTGGCCCGTAAGAGCCAAGACAACATGCTCAGGAGGGAATGCTCTGGTTCCCGGATGCCCTCTGACTCCGTGTGGACTCCGCGCCCGGCCTGGTGCTCTACCTTTACCTCAGAGCCGCTCTCCTCACCTGGGCAGGCCTCACACAACCTCCATCTGGGTGTGAAATTTCACACCGCCGGGGGCCAGCGGCCAACTGCGCTTGCGTGCTGCGCCAACACTCCGGGTCGCTTTTTGGCGCCGCCGGAAAATCTGGGAGGTGCGGCTACGTGGGCCCTGGGATTTATTTCGCTCCAGGGCGTAGGGATCAGCCCTGCGCCAGCGGCCCGTGCTACGTTGCCAGCTCTTCCGGTGGGCGTGGCCTGGGACGGGGGTCATCCCTTCTCCCGTGGGAGAGGATCGCCAGTCTTGGTGACCCGCAGGGCTCGTCCACTCACCTAAGGAAACGTGTTGGGCTTGCACGCCGGGGTTGTATGAGAGGTACGGCTCCTGCAAGCCTTTCTCAAGAGGTGTATTACCTTCCCAGTCTTCTTTTGCAGAGTTTAGGGGTCTCCACTTTGTCCTTTTTTTCCCCTTCCACCTGGAAACTCCTACACATCCTTAAAGACCCACCTCGAATGTCCTGGGAACCCTTCCTTCTTTCCCCCAGTTGTTCTCATCTTGCTCTGTCAAAGCATTTATTCTATTATGTTGTAATTATTAGTTTGCACGTTCCCTTAAATGATAAACGATATCTTGAATTTTCCAAAAGTCACTACTGTTCTTCAAAAACTTCATTTAAATACTAGAATATCATAAGCATGCACCATAATGTATTTATATAATCCAGATCAGATACTTGTTTCTAGCCATTTGATAGTGTAATAACCTTATAACGAAAAATCTTACCTATAAATCTTCAAATAAATCTCTTCCCTGCCCCCTTGAGGTGGATTCCTGGAAGTGTATTATTGGGTCAAGGCGAATTTTTTAGAGGCTCTTGATCCATGTTGCTAACTTTCTTCCCAGAAAGATAACAAAAATACCAATTTACAGCCCTACCTGCAGGGCTTGAGAGCACTTATCTCCACCTGGGCTGGCTTCCTGTGATTCCAACAGAAGGCAGTGTTTGCACCACTTATAATTTACCACTTTGTAATGTTGGTTTTCTTTATAGAGGAGCACTCAATAGCTCCCATAGCATGTACTTGAAAGAGCTTTAATAGTTCAATAATATTTCTCTGTTACACCTCGTGTGGCTTTTATCACTCTCTTCCCTTTATGACAGTTATTTGTGCACATTTACATTGCCTTCTGGGTGTTAAGTGGTAAATCAATCCTCCATCCCAAGAAATGTGAGCCATCTGAGTAAACTAAGGAGTCCATGTGCAATAGGCACAATGACTAGTGAATTAGCTAACTTATTTCTGTAGATCTGTGATCACCATAGGGGTGGGGATGAAAAGCTTTGGCATCGACCTCCCAGTTCACAGATTCTGGGTCGGAGGAGTTTATAGGTTAGTCACCTAAAAACAAAGGAGCTGAAGCTGACATTTTTTTCTGTGGTGGTTTGTACTACGATAAATTTCCCAGCTAACTTCCAACTTTCATCACCATCATGGGATGCAGAACTAGCAGAGCAACCCAGGTTGTTTCTTTACTAGCACTGGAAAGACAGAAGAAGGCACTAGAAGTGCAGAACACTTACAATGAATTTCTTACCTCAGTCTACAGGCCCAGCCTGGTCTGGCCCCTGCCTCTCGCTCTAGTCCTGTCAAGCACCACTGTTTTGCTTGCTCGGGTCTCTGCTGCACTGGTTTTCTGTCAGTTCTTTGAAGACACCTGTTCCCTCCCATGTCAAGGGCCTTAGGCCATGCTGCTCCCTCTGCCTGGAGGACTCCTCCTCAGGCTGTCTGCTAGCTGACTTCTCATCCTTCTAGGATCTCAGCTTCATGTCTCCTCAGATAGGCCTTCTAAATTGAGTTCTACTTCTCTCTCTCCAACTCATAACACCCTCACCACGATTTGTGAATAGATGTTTATTTGTGTGTTGATTTGTTTAAGGCTGCCTTCCCCAGTACAAGGTGAACTCTCTGAGGGCAGGGACCTTGTAGCTTTGTTCACCATCTTTCACCTAGTACCTAGAACCGTGTCTGGTTCACAGCAAGTGAATTAATGATTTATTGAATGAGCTACAGCAGAGGGAGCCCTCTGCTGGTCCAACGTAGGCCTGGAGGTTGGGCCCTAGCAAGAATTCCCTAGAGGAACACTTAGCTGGGGAGTTGGCAGATTTGCCCTCCTATGGCCCCGAACAAGAAGAGACATAAGGGGTTAAGAAAAGGCGGTAGGGGAGATAGTAATGGTGATTTGGAGCTCCTTGGTTCTTGTTTGTCTTCGTCTTCTTCCAGTTCCTAACACAGTTCCTGGGATATTGTAGGTGCTCAATGAATGTCGGCTGGTTGAATGAATAAGTAAACGTCGTGTGTCTTCCCAGAGGCACTGTAACCTACTAATCTCCTTTGATTCTCCCAGCAGCCATGAGCGATGGTGTGATCACACCCCTGCTTCATAGAAGTGAGCCCAGAGAAGGAGGGCAAATTAGGTTCTTCTCTGAGAAGAGTTAGTAAACATCTTTCACATCTTGCCAGAGGCTCCAGAATGTTATTACTTCTTATCATTGCCCTCTGACATTCTAATTAATTCTAATCATAGTTCCTGGCTCTTGAAATAACCATTATCTTTAAGTCTTCCAAGGCTCTAGTCTAAATGAATGGACACTGCAGCCAGGAAGCTACAGACATGGAAAGAAGGCAGGCAAGTCGGCCTGGCATCCTTTGGCTAGAGGCTCTCCACTTTGCCTTCACCTAGAAACAGACCCCATCTGGCCCTGTTTCTATGCACACAGTCTCTTCTGACACTCAGCACAGTACTAGGAAGAACACACAAGCCCAAAATCGGAAGCCCTAGGCCTTGGTTTTGACTCTGGCTCTAACGAGCCATGTGATCCTGAACAAGTCACTTAATCTCTGAGGCTCTTTTCCCTCTTCTGTAAAAACCTGTGCCATTCCACAGGGTTGATGTCAAAACTAAATTAGATTTGGTTGTAAGAAAAAAATGGAAAAAAATAACTATGCTAAAGAATGATTTCAGGCCAAAACCTTCTCTAGAATCATTTCCCTCAAGTCACTGATCTTATAGTTTACTATCTCACAGTTTGGTCTCTCCTGGAGAAAATCAAGAAGCATCCCTTATTTACCCACAAACAGCTAAAGTTTTAGTCATATAGCCAGAATACACATATACAGACAGCAGACATTGGCATATTTATACCCAAAATATCATGCTCTTGAGCATATGCAGTGGGAGAGAGAGATCACAATTTGTCATACCCAACCACTAGGTTCTAGAATTGCATAGTTTTCGAGTTGGAAAGGAACTCAGAGGCTTAACTCTCATCTAATGCCTTCGTTGTGTAATTGAGGAAAGTGTGGCCCAGAGAGAAGGAATGACCTGCTCAAAGTCAACCAGTGAGATCCAGACCTAAGTCTTCTAAGTTAAGATTCTATGCTGTGTCTGCTTCTTATACACACCAGCTCCCTTCTCACTTTAAAATTGAGGTCTAGGGGTGCCTGGGTGGCTCAGTCGGTTGGGCATCTGACTCTTGGTTTTGGCAGGTCATGATCTCAGGGTCGTGGGATCTAGCCCCACATTGAGCTCTGTGTTAAGCGGGGAGTCTGCTTGAAGATCCTCTCCCTCTGCTCCTCCCCGACTCATTCAAATCAATCAATCAATCTTTAAAAAAAATAAAGTTGACGTCTAGAGACAGACCAAAGCTGTAATTGATATTTGATATCCACCTCCTTTCATGATGTCAGGTAATGTCCCTCTTTCCCTCCCTCCAGCTGAAGGCGTGCTCACTACCTGTGACAAAACATCACTGGCCCGGTTTGTTTGCCTGTCCTCTCCTGGGCAGACATCTCAGGTGGGAGGTGGAGGGCTTCCAGCCAGAGATGCTGCTGCATACCCCTGTCATCTCTGACCTGCAACCCCAGACTGCAGAGCTAAGGGCAGGCTGACAGGGCACAGCTGTCTCACCTGTAAAATGGAAATAATAGAGTGTACCTCTTAGGATTGTTAGGAGGACTAAATACTTAATTTGAATAGTGCTTGGCACATGGTAAGTGCTATGTTATTGTCATTATCATCATCATCATCATCCTTTCCATCTGGTCACCTCTCAATTTTGTAAAGAGAGAAGTTGCTTTTCCTTTTGTCTCTGGGAAGAAGGAAAACTCAGGATCCTTCCTCTAGGAAGATTTGC